AAGCTTTGCACCAGATCCTAAGTATGTAAGCTGTCGTTTACAGAGACAGAACAGTGAAGGCTCCCCCTGTATCCTTCCTGTTATGGAGAAGGGCGAGAAGGCCAGCACCACACATTACTATCTCCTGCCTCAGCGGCCTGCTTTCGTGGACTCACCTTGTGTAGAGAAATTTCTTCGCTCTGCAGCTCGCAATACAGATGTATCAGACTCAGACTGGGACTGCCACACCAGGAGGAAAGCACATGTGAATTTAGTTTGAAAAGGTTTAGTGGAAGTAGCAAAGGACTCTACTGTAAATGAGCAAAAACCACTTGAAAAAATGGTGAAACTGGACACTAACAACCCTCAAACTGCTGCTTTTACTTTAAAAAAAAAAAAAACCCTCATGTATTCTAAACACACAGGGTATGAGCGCACTGTATTCAGTTACTGGTAATGTTGGCATAGCTATCACAACCGAGATACTTTACGTAAAAACTGTATCTCTGACTATAGATTGTGGGCAAAATTCAACATTGTAGAGCTTATTTTTGATATAATTTTTATTTCTTGACATTCAATATTGTTCTGTTTTTGCTGACGACGTGGTACAGTCAGAAGGTACAAGCGGGCCTTGAACCTCATGTGCTCAGTGTTTTCTGTGTGGAAGGTTGAGGATGTTCTGTGAGATACATTGATGCTGCTTTTGTATCTCACAAGGGACAAAAGGTCAGTAATGTAACCATGTATCACTTAATATATGAAGTCTAAATACAAGGCCAATTAATTTTTAACAAAAATGAAGGATGCTAGCACACAAATCTCTATTCTCTTTGCTATTGTATATCAACACTGATATGGTTTCCCTGCCTTGATGAAGTTTGAGTCTTACTCAGGCCATTATATCTGTGTAAATTTGTGTTTCCCACATGGCACGTTGTTATGGTACATTATGTACTAAGAGGTGGGTACATTACTGGTAGCTATGCATGTTTCCATTGGAATGTCTAGCGCAGCTTTTATGGTGTAGTTGTCTGTTGATGAGTGTGTCTGTGTGTATGTATGTATGTGCGTGGACGTGTTTGTGCATACGTGCATGTGAACAGCAGTTGGAAAAGTGTTCTGGTGATAAAATTACTTTCTACAATTTGTAGGAAATTGTCAACCATACTTGTTACTGTGCTCTGCTTATTTGCAGTGCCTGCTTTTGAGTACAGCCCTCTTAAAAGTGTACACATTGATTGCTTTCTTTCAGTGTCCAGGTCTGTTTTGTTGCACGGAAATTGGCCTGTTGAACATTAAGTGAATGTATGATATTCTTGCTGAAATTCCATCAAACAGTTGGAGAAGCTTATTTTTGGTCAAGCTGTGAGTTATTGCTTGGAACTAATTTGCCTCAAGGACTACCTCCCTTTGATATTAATCCTATATTTCACATACTCCCCATTAATAAAGGCAAAATTGGAAATTATAATAAAAAAAAGATGAGGTAACCAGTTTCAAATGTGATGTGACACAAAGTTTTAATTCAGTTACCCTTCAGTTCAGAGTAACACAAAGTCAATTCTAACCGGATATCCTTAAATAGAGATTTTAGATCACGCAGATCTTAGATCACAGAGATGTTAGGCTAACCTGTTAATACAGACGCATTACAAAGACAGTGCAGGGTTTACCTAGCTGACACAGACTTTCCTGTTCTGCTCATGCATTCCTGCCTTACATGATTGCAGTGGGTGTGGTCTGAGAGACTTTGGCTGCTGGCAGCCCGGAAAATATATGAATTTTATTGTTGTAGATTATTCATAAAGCATTGAAATTATATAGTAAATGTAGCACATGTATTGAAGTAACCCTTGGTATCGAACACGATGTTCAGTTTGGGAAACAGATAATTGCTAAGGTCAAACGGTCATTGAAATATACTTTTTCTCTCCCTTCTGCTCACAAAACCTTGCCAACACAATGTTGCTTTTGACTTAAATGTCTGAAAAAATGTTTACATCATACACTGATACTATTTAATCTTAAGGTATTCATATGTCTTATTAGAAATAATAAAACTGAATGAAGACTGGTTTATCAAGAAATAACTTCTCTGCTGTGGTGAAGACATGCACTGGGAGAGTAAAGTATGCTGTGTACAGTATTTAACAATTCCATTTGTTGTTATGAATAGTTGATAAGTATATAGTCTTTAAAAAGAAAGCAAAATAAAAATGACTTATTTATGAACTTGCGTCATTCTGTTTCTTTAATCTGTCAAGCCTAAAATCTCAACTCAGCTGTTTGGCCTGTTTTATCACCCACACACCCTCATGCTGTGCCTTATTGTGACTGGCCTCTATCCAGAGAAAGAGTGACTTACAATGGCAGATTGACAGGTGTACAGTCTATTGCCTTCCTCTTCCTGGTTACATTGGTCTCCTCCTGCATAAGTGCTAAGATGCTCTGTGGCAGCCAGTTTTGCGCCCACAGGTTCTTATGTACTCAACAATGTTGCAAATGTTTTACTCTTGACTTCAGTCCATGTGGTTAGGCACAGAGCCGAAACCACAGTGATCCACACAGAGTATTAGAGATCAAATATTTACTAAATAAGCTACAATTGAGCTGCACTTAAATATCCCCCATAACCTCCGAGCAAAACAGTAACATTTTGGAGTGTTGCTGTGCTGATAGCAATTTATTTTGCAATGTACTCTCTGAAAGTTTGACTATATAGGCCACCTGCAAACCCTTTCACCTCATTCACTTTTAGGTGAGCTGCTAGGCAACAGCATGGGTGGTGACTATAGCAACTAAAGACAGGCTGCTCATTTTAAATGTCTGTTGGAAGCAAGAAAGATCAAGTGCCAGGTGAATTAACAAGGCTGTGGTTTTAGATAAGCCTTTGAATAAACGCATTGTTGTTGTGCACTAAGCCAGAACTCAAACATTAGACTTCCTAAGAGTCTATTTTCATGACTTTTTATCTGACTTGTGAAACTGATAAAACTTGGCCAAAAAGGCACAAGGAATCATTCACTTTGTCTCCCAAACTGGTTCTGTGGTTGTTTCTGTCCTTTTCATTTGCAATTACACATGAACATTTTTGTTTAGTGACTGGAGCTTTACAAACTTCAGTTTTCAACTTAAATTTGCTATTGTGTTTTGGCGCTTACTTGGGTTCAGCTCATGTATCGAGTATGTGGGACTTAACTTTCAGTTTTAGTGGCTCAACTATCAAATGCAAATATATTTTCGGCCGCAGTTAATTAGATAAAAGTCCTTGGCTGGCACTACTGATGGATTAACAAGTGGAACAGACTTGTTTTTATGATAAGAATTATTACAGTAATTATGATTACTGCCTCATCAATTTTGATACAGTCTCTGCTGATTAGTCTGCAGTTGTTGGAGTGCAAGAGAGCATGTCTGTGTTCTGTGTCTGGCTCTTAACATGTCTGCATTGTTGAATACTGCAGATCTGCACTGTATAAAGAATAGTTGAATAGGGTCTACAGATGTACTATTGAAATTTGATAAGCAAAGAAACTGATCAAGCAAATTACAGCAAGTTCTGCTATAAAGTTAGGAAGGACAAAGAGGTGAGCCGTAGAGTAATTCAGCATATTTTACAGTTTATGCAGATAAAATTATTACATTCATAGATTCAACTCTAAGGTTCAGAAATTTAAATCAATCACTATCTAGCAGCTACATACTTGTATACAATCAAGATATTAATTGGTTATGTGCAACATTGGTCCTCTATAGTAATGTACTCAGTAAAAACAGTGCTATGGAGCACATTTCACTTAACATATTCGTCCAGATTTAATGAAATTCACACTCAATCTCATTTCTAGACACACACACACACATATTTATATACACACACATATATAAACGTATATATATATAAACAAATAATCATAAATGGTGTAGTAAAATATTAATAGAATGAAACAAAAAGTTATGCTTGTTGTTAAATATAATTTTAATTTAAATTTAATATAAACAGGCAAGAGAATTGGAGTTCATATGTTCTATGCAGGCTTTCTAAGGATATTCTTATTCCCATCTCACTTTACCAAAAACACACATGGCTAGATTGAAATATATTGCTAATTAATTCCATTGTGTGCATTGCCTTTCTGTTTTGGTCTAATCTTATCATTTGCTGTGAGGGGTGGACAGAGTTGTAAATATTTAACTTTGACCGAAGTGGTGCTGGTTAACTTTTACTCAGGTCAGAGTACTTGTAAAGAAAATATAGTACATCAAGTGAAGGTAGTGAAATTGGTCAGTTACAAGGTGGACACAAATAGCAATCAACAGTTCAGATGAAATTAACGGTGTATTGCTGTTATGGACCAGCGGCAGGGATGTGCACTAGCATTTTGAGTTACAGTGGCACAGTACACAAAAAGATCTCACCAATACCACTATCACACTAGTATTACTGGCAGAAACACTAATACTGGACTGTTACAGTGCTGATAAAGCTGTTATTACCTGATACTGACAGTACAGTCAGACGGTCACAATTCTACAACAGGATCGCGAAAGTCATTGCTGAGGTTGATTAAACAATGAAGCATTTTCAGATCACTTTAATTTGCTTCAAAAAAGCATAAAACTACTCTGTGCCTTTCTCTTCAAAAGTTGCAAAGGCAAAACATCTTTAGAATGAGTGTGTGTATGCCATCTAGTGACCATATATTATACTGACTTTGAGGAACACTGACAAGCAAACATTACCCTCTGAAGGCTCCAGGGGCATAACCAACCTGATTTACACCATTAGACACAAAAACAGAAACCCTAGATGTCAACTTAGACAAAACAACCCCTCACTGACACAGTTAAAGTTGCATATAGCATGGTATTAGATTTCATAAAATTGAACAGATGTTTGTAATTGTGTCTACCCCATGTGTTTGAATGCTATATTATAGTATGTGTTATTGTGACTTTGTGTTGATAAATATCACTTGTATGGCAAGTGCACATTGCAAAGGATGAGAACTGGCAAGTTAGCACAGCCCATTGCATTTTGTTTAATTATACCAAAAACAGTATGACATCTCAAAATAAACTTGCACCAAACCCTTTGTCAACACCATTATGAACTGTAAAAACTACACTCATCTAAACAACCATGAAATATTTTAATCTTTCTTTTTTCATTAAGTTTACTCCTGATTCCTGAAGTGGAAGAAAATTACAAAAACTTATGGCTATAGTGTGGTGTGAATTAACTAACAACACTGGAGTCTGAATTGAGGGCATAATAGGCAACAGTGAATTACAATTAATATAAATAAAATCATAAATATTTTATTACTATTATATTATTTATGTGCAAAACATTGTTAGTAGCTCATATTGATATGTGCTTTTCTTAATTGATAGCATGGGAAACATTGTAATTAAAACAAAAATTTCTTCATCTAGGGTTGACGCTCGAAACCTCTGGACGTTTTGTTGTGACCTTAAAATACACAAGGAGGATCACATATTAATGTCAACATTTTCACTATAATCTTACATTTGTCTGCTTGTGTACTTCAGAATACTTTTATAGGTTTTGTATGTAATAAACAGAAGAGAAAACAAAAATACCTGCATTCGGGTGTCAACATTTTGTAGATAGGGCCTAAAACCCTCTGATGTGTAAGTGCCTGCAAATCCCAAGTTGTGATCTCCTAGGAAAAATATATAATAATGTTGAAACTGCAAATGTTAGAGATAAATAGTTTACTGAATTTTTACTTTTTACTAAAAAAAAAGACCAGGACAGACCTGTATCTGAGAAGTCAAAGAAATCTTCCTCAAAAGCAGAAAGTCTTCTGTTATAGGAGTTTCTTCTTTTCCTAAAAAAGAGTGTTGATTTATGAGTGATGATTAATTTCACATGGTAATGTTTTTAACTTTATGATTACAGTCAAATCAAAATATTTGTTGACAATTTCCATATTAATATAAAGGAAGGATTTTGAGCATCATAACCCACCAAACACCCATATGTCTCTTTTTGACAATGACAGCAATGATGATGATAATCAAGAGCAGGAGTGCTGCTGCCAATGATCCAAACAGTGCCCCATAGAAACCTGGACCCCGACGGAAGAGGTCACACTGTGGGCCATAAAACTGCTCCAGGCTAGACTCAAAGCACCTAGGTGAAGCCATAAGGGTGATTTATGTTAATAAAGTCAATACTATGAGCAAAAATGTTAAACTGTTTTTTTTTTTGCAATTAAAATAAAAACAGATATTTTGGCTTACCTACAAATAGGCCCTTTGTAAACGTTATTGTGGCATTCTCCATGTTGATGACAGTAATCTGGGTTTGTTTTGCAAGGTCCAACACATTGCCATTGACCATTACCTATCTCAGCAGTGTAATTAGCAAACTGAGTGCAGTTAACAAAAGGCTGCAGGTCTTTGATATCTGATTGATGAAAAAAAATTTAAAAAAGTTTTATTTGTCATTGTGTAGTACCAAGATACAAAAAAGGAAATTCTAACATATTGAATAAAAAAACCAATCAAATTGGCATATTTAAAACTGACATGGAGTGCACTTACTTGTAATCTCAGGTAGGGGGAAGTTGATTCCATTTAACTGCACACTTGCATTAAAGGCCTGGGAAATATTACTGAGGTTACTTGTGTCATTCAAGATAGCAGTCAACAATCCATCAAGCTGAGTGTTGACAAACTGGATTTGAGTTTCATTGTTTGCATAGTTGTACTCTGCCAGGGTCTCTGCAACAACACTTCCTGGTCTACAACAGAAACATATAAAGATAAGCATAAGAAAACAACTTGCACTTAATTAGAAATGTATTTAAATAATTTTGTATGTCAAATTTAATGAAACCTACGATAACTTGATGACTTTTAGAGTTTTATAGCTTTGTGGATCTGCTTCTTTGCATAGGACTTCAAGCTGGAACACAGGATAGGTGTTATTATAACATAGTTATGGAAATAAAGCCACATTGCTGAATATTAACATAAATAAATAGATACCAAATTCTAAAAAAGATCTGTAAATAATATAAATCATTGCAAATATTGCATGGCGATTCATTATTATGTTATAAGATATGATAAGATATAAGACATAATACATGAGTTAATACTGAAATTAGATAGATTATTGGATAATAAGTCATGTAACAGTAAGAACAAAAATCTACCTGCGGTTTTAATGTTTTGATGAATTCTAATGATAGATGTGAGTTCAAATTATTGAAAGCCTCATTAAAAGTGATGTTGATTTTCAAAGTAAAATTCACTTTTCGAGTTGGTATTGCTCCAGTATCTGTAAAAAATATAAATAAATAAAACATTAAATTAACATTAAATATATTGCAATAACATTTTGAATTTAAAACTAAAGTAAGAATTATCAGTGACAAAAGCAAAAAAATTTAGTTTCAATAAACAATATTTTCAAGTAATATAATATATTTTAAAAATGTATATATTTAGGGATGAAAAACCTCACCAATCTGAGCAGAGGTAATATTCTCTCCTAAAACGCAGACATCTCCAAAGACAAACGTTGGACATTTGCAGTGACATCTTCCAAGTGTTGCATTGAATTTACAGGTACCAGTACACCCAGGACAATCCTTAACTCCACACTGAGGAGTTGTAGATGGTGTTGTCACAGTGACAGTGGTATTTGAAAGGGCAATAGATGTTGAATGAATGACTGTTGTAAGTGTGTTTGTACTAATGATTTCTGCTGATGTCAAAGCCTTTGAAGTTGGTGTGGTTGGCGAAGATGTTTGTGGACTTCTACTTGATTTTTTATTTGTTGTTACTTCACTTGTTGGTGCAGAAGCAGACTGTGACAAAGGTGTCACGTTGGAGGAGACTGTGGAAGGTGGATGGATTGTAATGGCACTATCTGAGTTTGGATTGTCAGTAGATGTTGGAGTAAAAGTTGGTAACACCACATTAGTTATGATAGTGGAATTGACAGTTGATCTCACAGTCTGGGCTGTGTGCTTTGAAGTCAGTCCGGTACCTACAAGTGTTGTAGCAGTTTTTTCTTCAGGAGATGTTTCAGTGGAATGAGTAGGGAATGTAGACTGTGAATTTGTGGAGACCATTGTATTTGTGGGTGAAGTGATGGATGTTGTGGTGGAAGGTCTTGAAACTCCATTTGTGGTGAGTGTTGACGTGGGGGCTGTTAATTCAGTCATTTCTGTGGGTGCCAATGTAGACTGTCGCTGTGTGGATGAGGACATGATTGTTGTAGATGGTTCCTGGCTGGTTGATGGAGGCGGAGTGTTGGTGGTACTCAGTGTTGAAGTGGAATTTGTGTGTTCAGTAGATTCTTGAGTGGCATGAGTAGTGAATGTACGTTGTGAATTTGTGGAAACCTCTGTATTCGTGGATGAGGTGATGGTCGGTGAGGAATGATCCATGATGGAAGGTTTTGTGACTCCATTTGTGGTGAGTGTTGAGGTTGAGGCTGTTAATTCAGTCATTTCTGTGGGTGCCAATGTAGATTGTGGCTCTGTGGATGAGGACATCATTGTTGCCGATGTGTCCTGGCTGGTTGATGGAGGCTGAGTGTTGCTGGTACTTAGTATCGAAGATGAACTTGAGTGTTCAGTAGATTCTTGGGTGGAATGAGTAGCGAATGCAGATTGTGAATTTGTGGAGACCTCTGAATTCGTGGCTGGGGTGATGGTTGTTGCGGAATGATCAGTGCTGGAAAGTTTTGTGACTCCATTTGTGGTGAGTGTTGAGGTCGAGGCTGTAAATTCAGTCATTTCTGTGGGTGCCAAGGTAGATTGTGGCTCTGTGGATGAGGACATCATTGTTGCAAATGTTTCCTGACTGGCTGATGGAGGCTGAGTGTTGTTGGTAGTTGGTATTGAAGTTGAACTTGTGTGTTCAGTAGATTCTTCAGTGGAATGAGTAGCGAATGTAGAGTGTGAATTTGGGGAGACCTCTGTATTCGAGGATGAGGTGATGGTTGGTGTGGAATGATCAGTGCTGGAAGGTTTTGTGACTCCATTTGTGGTGAGTGTTGATGTTGAAGCTGTTAATTCAGTAATTTCTGTGGGTGCCAAAGAAGATTGTGGCTCTGTGGATGAGGACATCATTGTTGTAGATGTGTCCTGGCTGGGTGTTGGAGGCTGAGTGTTGTTGGTACTTGGTATTGAAGTTGATCTTGTGAATTCAGTAGATGCTTCGGTGAAAGAAGTAGCGAATGTAGGTTGTGAATTTGTGGAGATCTCTGTATTAGTGGATGAATTGATGGTTGTTGCGGAACGATCAGTGCTGGAAGACTGTGGCTCGTTGGATGAGGACATCATTGTTGCAGATGTTTCTTGGCTGGTTGATGGAGGCTGAGTGTTGTTGGCAATTGGTATTGAAGTTGAACTTGTTTGTTCAGTAGATGCATGAGTGGAATGAGTAGCGAATGTAGACTGTGAATTTGTGGAGACCTCTGAATTCGTGGCTGGGGTGATGGTTGTTGCGGAATGATCAGTGCTGGAAAGTTTTGTGACTCCATTTGTGGTGATTGTTGAGGTCGAGGCTGTAAATTCAGTCATTTCTGTGGGTGCCAATGTAGATTGTGGCACTGTGGATGAGGACATTATTGTTGCAGATGTGTCCTGGCTGGTCGATGGAGGTGGAGTGTTGTTGGTACTTGGTATTGAAGTTGAACTTGTGTGTTCAGTGGATGCTTGATTGGAATGAGTAGCGAATGTAGAGCGTGAATTTCTGGAGACCTCTGTATTCGTGGATGAAGGGATGGTCGGTGCGGAATGATCAGTGCTGGAAGGTTTTGTGACTCCATTTGTGGTGAGTGTTGAGGTCGAGGCTGTAAATTCAGTCATTTCTGTGGGTGCCAATGTAGATTGTGGCTCTGTGGATGAGGATATCATTGTTGCAGATGTGTCCTGGCTGGTTGATGGAGGCTGAGTGTTGCTGGTACTTAGTATCGAAGATGAACTTGTGAATTCAGTAGATACTTCAGTGAAGGAAGTAGCGAATGAATGTTGTGAATTTGTGGGGACATCTGTATTCGTTGATGTAGGGATGGTCGGTGCAGATTGATCAGTGCTGAAAGGTTTTGTGACTCCATTTGTGGTGAGTGTTGAGGTCGAGGCTGTAAATTCAGTCATTTCTGTGGGTGCCAAGGTAGATTGTGGCTCTGTGGATGAGGACATCATTGTTGCAGATGTTTCCTGACTGGCTGATGGAGGCTGAGTGTTGTTGGTAGTTGGTATTGAAGTTGAACTTGTGTGTTCAGTAGATTCTTCAGTGGAATGAGTAGCGAATGTAGAGTGTGAATTTGGGGAGACCTCTGTATTCGAGGATGAGGTGATGGTTGGTGTGGAATGATCAGTGCTGGAAGGTTTTGTGACTCCATTTGTGGTGAGTGTTGATGTTGAAGCTGTTAATTCAGTAATTTCTGTGGGTGCCAAAGAAGATTGTGGCTCTGTGGATGAGGACATCATTGTTGTAGATGTGTCCTGGCTGGGTGTTGGAGGCTGAGTGTTGTTGGTACTTGGTATTGAAGTTGATCTTGTGAATTCAGTAGATGCTTCGGTGAAAGAAGTAGCGAATGTAGGTTGTGAATTTGTGGAGATCTCTGTATTAGTGGATGAATTGATGGTTGTTGCGGAACGATCAGTGCTGGAAGACTGTGGCTCGTTGGATGAGGACATCATTGTTGCAGATGTTTCTTGGCTGGTTGATGGAGGCTGAGTGTTGTTGGCAATTGGTATTGAAGTTGAACTTGTGTGTTCAGTAGATGCATGAGTGGAATGAGTAGCGAATGTAGACTGTGAATTTGTGGAGACCTCTGTATTTGTGGATGAGGTGATGGTTGTTGGAGAATTATCAGTGCTAAAAGGTCTTGTAAATCCATTTGTGGTGAGTGTTGAGGTTGAAGCTGTTAATTCAGTCATTTCTGTGGGTGCCAACGAAGATTGTGTCTCTGTGGATGAGGACATCATTGTTGCAGATGTGTCCTGGCTGGTTGATGGAGGCTGAGTGTTGCTGGTACTTAGTATTGAAGATGAACTTGTGTGTTCAGTAGATTCTTGGGTGGAATGAGTAGCGAATGCAGATTGTGAATTTGTGGAGACCTCTGTATTCGTGGATGAGGTGATGGTTGGTGCGGAATGATCAGTGCTGGAAGGTTTTGTGACTCCATTTGTGGTGAGTGTTGAGGTTGAGGCTGTTAATTCAGTCATTTCTGTGGGTGCCAAGGTAGATTGTGGCTCTGTGGATGAGGACATCATTTTTGCAGATGTTTCCTGACTGGCTGATGGAGGCTGAATGTTGTTGGTAGTTGGTATTGAAGTTGAACCTGTGTGTTCAGTAGATTCTTCAGTGGAATGAGTAGCAAATGTAGATTGTGAATTTTGGAGACTTCTGAATTTGTGGCTGGGGTGATGGTTGTTGCGGAATTATCAGTGCTGGAAGGTCTTGAAACTCCATTTGTGGTGGGTGTTGAGATCGAGGCTGTTGATTCGGTCATTTTTGTGGGTGCCAATGTAGACCGTGGCTCTGTGGATGAGGACATCATTGTTGTATATGTTTCCGGGCTTGTTGATAGAGGCTGGTCACACCTTGGGCCATAAAATTGCTCCAGGCTAGACTCAAAGCACCTGGGTGAAGGCATAAGGGTAAATTGTGTTAATAAAAGCAATAGTATGACAAAATACGGTTTTTGCAATTAAAAGAGAAACAGATGTTTTGGCTTACCTACAAATAGGCCCTTTGTAAATGTCATTGTGGCATTCTCCATGTTGATGACAGTAATTTGGGTTTCTTTTGCAAGGTCCAAGACACTGCCATTGACCATTACTAATCTCAGCAGTGTAATTAGCAAACTGAGTGCAGTTAACAAAAGGCTCCAGGTCTTTGATATCTGATTGATGAAAAAAGTGATGTATTTGTCTTTGTGTACAAGTACTATGATACAAACATAGAAATTCTAACAAATTAAATGAAGAAACACTGTGTAAAGTAGCAAAAAGTTAAATAGGCATATTTAAAACTGACATGGAGTGCACTTACTTGTAATCTCAGGTAGCGGGAAGGTGATTCCATTTAACTGCACACTTGCATTAAAGACCTGAGAAATATTATTGAGGTTACTTGTGTCCTTCAAGATAGCAGTCAACAATCCATCAAGCTGAGTGTTGACAAACTGGATTTGAGTTTCATTGTTGGCATAGTTGTACTCTGCCACTGTCTCTGCAACAACACTTCCTGGTCTACAAAAGAAAAATAGAAAAATAAGCATAAGAAGCAACTTGCACTTAATTAAAACTCAATTTAAATAATTGTGTCAGTCAAATTTAAAGAAACCTACAATAACTTGATGACTTTTAGAGTTTTATAGCTTTGTGGATCTGCTTCTTTGCATAGGACTTCAAGCTGTAACACAGGACTGGTGTTATTATAACATATTTATGGTAATAAAGCCACATTGTTGAATATTAACATAAATAAACAGATACTAAATTCTAAAAAAAGATCTGTTTATTATATGAATCATTGCTTATTTTGCCTGTCGATTCATTATAATGTTATAAGATATGATAAGATATAAGACATAATACATGAGTAAATACTGAAATTAGATAGATTATTGGATAATAAGTCATGTAACAGTGAGAAAAAAAATCTACCTGTGGTTTTAATGTCTTGATGAATTCTAATGATAGATGTGAGTTCAAATTATTGAAAGCCTCATTAAAAGTGATGTTGATTTTCAAAGTAAAATTCACTTTTCGAGTTGGTATTGCTCCAGTATCTGTAAAAAATTTAAATAAATAAAACATTAAATTAACATTAAATATATTGCAATAACATTTTGAATTTAAAACTAAAGTAAGAATTATCAGTGACAAAGGTAAGCAATTTAAAGAGAATTTATAGCTAAAAGTTTCAATAAACAATATTTTCAAGTAATATAATATATTTTTAAAAAATGTATATATTTAGGGATGAAAAACCTTACCAATCTGAGCAGAGGTAATATTCTCTCCTAAAACGCATACATCTCCAAAGACAAACGTTGGACATTTGCAGTGACATCTTCCAAGTGTTGCATTGAATTTACAGGTACCAGTACACCCAGGACAATCCTTAACTCCACACTGAGGAGTTGTAGATGGTGTTGTCACAGTGACAGTGGTATTTGAAAGGGCAATAGATGTTGAATGAATGACTGTTGTAAGTGTGTTTGTACTAATGATTTCTGCTGATGTCAAAGCCTTTGAAGTTGGTGTGGTTGGCGAAGATGTTTGTGGACTTCTACTTGATTTTTTATTTGTTGTTACTTCACTTGTTGGTGCAGAAGCAGACTGTGACAAAGGTGTCACGTTGGAGGAGACTGTGGAAGGTGGATGGATTGTAATGGCACTATCTGAGTTTGGATTGTCAGTAGATGTTGAAGTAAAAGTTGGTAACACCACATTAGTTATGATAGTGGAACTGAAAGTTGATCTCACAGTCTGGGCTGTGTGCTTTGAAGTCAGTCCGGTACCTACAAGTGTTGTAGCAGTTTTTTCTTCAGGAGATGTTTCAGTGGAATGAGTAGGGAATGTAGACTGTGAATTTGTGGAGACCATTGTATTTGTGGGTGAAGTGATGGATGTTGTGGTGGAAGGTCTTGAAACTCCATTTGTGGTGAGTGTTGACGTGGGGGCTGTTAATTCAGTCATTTCTGTGGGTGCCAATGTAGACTGTCGCTCTGTGGATGAGGACATCATTGTTGTAGATGGTTCCTGGCTGGTTGATGGAGGCGGAGTGTTGCTGGTACTCAGTGTTGAAGTGGAATTTGTGTGTTCAGTAGATTCTTGAGTGGAATGAGTAGCGAATGTACGATTGTGAATTTGTGGAGACCTCTGTATTCGTGGATGAGGTGATGGTCGGTGAGGAATGATCCATGATGGAAGGTTTTGTGACTCCATTTGTGGTGAGTGTTGAGGTTGAGGCTGTTAATTCAGTCATTTCTGTGGGTGCCAATGTAGATTGTGGCTCTGTGGATGAGGACATCATTGTTGCCGATGTGTCCTGGCTGGTTGATGGAGGCTGAGTGTTGCTGGTACTTAGTATTGAAGTTGAACTTGTATTTTCAGTAGATTCTTGAGTGGAATGAGTAGCGAATGTAGATTGTGAATTTGTGGAGACCTCTGAATTCGTGGCTGGGGTGATGGTTGTTGCGGAATGATCAGTGCTGGAAAGTTTTGTGACTCCATTTGTGGTGATTGTTGAGGTCGAGGCTGTAAATTCAGTCATTTCTGTGGGTGCCAAGGTAGATTGTGGCTCTGTGGATGAGGACATCATTGTTGCAGATGTTTCCTGACTGGCTGATGGAGGCTGAGTGTTGTTGGTAGTTGGTATTGAAGTTGAACTTGTGTGTTCAGTAGATTCTTCAGTGGAATGAGTAGCGAATGTAGAGTGTGAATTTGGGGAGACCTCTGTATTCGAGGATGAGGTGATGGTTGGTGTGGAATGATCAGTGCTGGAAGGTTTTGTGACTCCATTTGTGGTGAGTGTTGATGTTGAAGCTGTTAATTCAGTAATTTCTGTGGGTGCCAAAGAAGATTGTGGCTCTGTGGATGAGGACATCATTGTTGTAGATGTGTCCTGGCTGGGTGTTGGAGGCTGAGTGTTGTTGGTACTTGGTATTGAAGTTGATCTTGTGAATTCAGTAGATGCTTCGGTGAAAGAAGTAGCGAATGTAGGTTGTGAATTTGTGGAGATCTCTGTATTAGTGGATGAATTGATGGTTGTTGCGGAACGATCAGTGCTGGAAGACTGTGGCTCGTTGGATGAGGACATCATTGTTGCAGATGTTTCTTGGCTGGTTGATGGAGGCTGAGTGTTGTTGGCACTTGGTATTGAAGTTGAACTTGTGTGTTCAGTAGATGCATGAGTGGAATGAGTAGCGAATGTAGACTGTGAATTTGTGGAGACCTCTGTATTTGTGGATGAGGTGATGGTTGTTGGAGAATTATCAGTGCTAAAAGGTCTTGTAAATCCATTTGTGGTGAGTGTTGAGGTTGAAGCTGTTAATTCAGTCATTTCTGTGGGTGCCAACGAAGATTGTGTCTCTGTGGATGAGGACATCATTGTTGCAGATGTTTCCTGGCTGGTCGATGGAGGCTGAGTGCTGTTGGTACTTGGTATTGAAGTTGAACTTGTGTGTTCAGTAGATGCTTGAGTGGAATGAGTAACGAATGTAGAATGTGAATTTGTGGATGAGGTGATGGTTGTTGCAGAATGATCAGTGCTTAAAGGTCTTGTAACTCCATTTGTGGTGAGTGTTGAGGTTGAGGCTCTTGATTCAGTAATTTCTGTGGGTGCCAATGTAGATTGTGGCTCTGTGGATGAGGACACCATTGTTGCAGATGTTTCCTGACTGGCTGATGGAGGCTGAGTGTTGTTGGTAGTTGGTATTAAAGTTGAACTTGTGTGTTCAGTAGATTCTTCAGTGGAATGAGTAGCGAATGTAGAGTGTGAATTTGTGGAGACGTCTGTATTCGAGGATGAGGTGATGGTTGGTGTGGAATGATCAGTGCTGGAAGGTTTTGTGACTCCATTTGTGGTGAGTGTTGATGTTGAAGCTGTTAATTCAGTAATTTCTGTGGGTGCCAAGGTAGATTGTGGCTCTGTGGATGAGGACATCATTGTTGCAGATGTGTCCTGGCTGGGTGTTGGAGGCTGAGTGTTGTTGGTACTTGGTATTGAAGTTGATCTTGTGAATTCAGTAGATTCTTCGGTGAAAGAAGTAGCGAATGTAGGTTGTGAATTTGTGGAGATCTCTGTATTAGTGGATGAGTTAATGGTTGTTGCGAAACGATCAGTGCTGGAAGACTGTGGCTCGTTGGATGAGGACATCATTGTTGCAGATGTTTCTTGGCTGGTTGATGGAGGCTGAGTGTTGTTGGTAATTGGTATTGAAGTTGAACTTGTGTGTTCAGTAGATGCTTGAGTGGAATGAGTAGCGAATGTAGAATGTGAATTTGTGGAGACCTCTGTATTTGTGGATGAGGTGATGGTTGTTGCCGAATGATCAGTGCTTAAAGGTCTTGTAACTCCATTTGTGGTGGGTGTTGAGGTTGAGGCTCTTGATTCAGTAATTTCTGTGGGTGCCAATGTAGATTGTGGCTCTGTGGATGAGGACACCATTGTTGCAGATGTTTCCTGACTGGCTGATGGAGGCTGAGTGTTGTTGGTAGTTGGTATTGAAGTTGAACTTGTGTGTTCAGTAGATTCTTCAGTGGAATGAGTAGCGAATGTAGAGTGTGAATTTGTGGAGACGTCTGTATTCGAGGATGAGGTGATGGTTGGTGTGGAATGATCAGTGCTGGAAGGTTTTGTGACTCCATTTGTGGTGTGTGTTGATGTTGAAGCTGTTAATTCAGTAATTTCTGTGGGTGCCAACGAAGATTGTGGCTCTGTGGATGAGGACATCATTGTTGTAGATGTGTCCTGGCTGGGTGTTGGAGGCTGAGTGTTGTTGGTACTTGGTATTGAAGTTGAACTTGTGTTTTCCTTAGATGGTTTAGTAGAATGAGTAGCGAATGTAGAGTGTGGCTCTTTGGATGAGGACATCATTGTTGCAGCTGTTTCTTGGCTGGTTGATGGCGGCTGAGAGTTGCTGGTACTTAGCATTGAAGTTGAACTTCTGGGTTCGGTAGATGCTTGAGTGGAATGAGTAGCAAATGTAGAGCGTGGCTCTGTGGATGAGGACATCATTGTTGCAGATGTTTCCTGGCTGGGTGATGGAGGCTGAGAGTTGCTGGTACTGAGCATTGAAGTTGAACTTCTGGGTTCGGTAGATGCTTGAGTGGAATGAGTAGCAAATGTAGAGCGTGGCTCTGTGGATGAGGACATCATTGTTGCAGATGTTTCCTGGCTGGGTGATGGAGGCTGAGAGTTGCTGGTACTTAGCATTGAAGTTGAACTTGTGTGTTCAGTAGATGGTTTAGTAGAATGAGTAGCTAATGTAGAGTGTGGCTCTTTGGATGAGGACATCATTGTTGCAGCTGTTTGTTGGTTGGTTGATGGCGGCTGAGATTTGCTGGAACTTAGCATTGAAGTTGAACTTCTGGGTTCAGTAGATGCTTGAGTGGAATGAGTAGCAAATGCAGAGTGTGGCTCTGTGGATGAGGACATCATTGTTGCAGATGTTTCCTGGCTGGTTGATGGAGGCTGAGTGTTGTTGGAACTTAGTGTTGAAGTTGAACTTGTGTGTTCATTAGATGCTTGAGTGGAATGAGTAGCGAATGTAGATTGTGAATTTGTGGAGACCTCTGTATTTGTGGATGAGGTGATGGTTGTTGCAGAATGATCAGTGCCTAAAGGTCTTGTAACTCCATTTGTGTTGAGTGTTGAGGTTGAGGCTCTTGAGTCAGTAATTTCTGTGGGTGCCAATGTAGATTGTGGCTCTGTGGATGAGGACACCATTGTTGCAGAGGTTTCCTGGCTGGTTGATGGAGGCTGAGTGTTGTTGGTACTTGGTATTGAAGTTGAACTTGTGTGTTCAGTGGATGCTTCAGTGGAATGAGTAGCGAATGTAGGTTGTGAATTTGTGAGGACCTCTGTATTCGTGGATGAGGTGATGGTTGGTGCGGAATGATCAGTGCTGGAAGGTTTTGTGACTCCATTTGTGGTGAGTGTTGAGGTTGAGGCTGTTAACTCAGTAATTTCTGTGGGTGCCAAGGTAGATTGTGGCTCTGTGGATGAGGACATCATTGTTGCAGATGTTTCCTGACTGGCTGATGGAGGCTGAATGTTGTTGGTAGTTGGTATTGAAGATGAACTTGTGTGTTCAGTAGATTCTTGAGTGTAATGAGTAGCGAATGTAGATTGTGAATTTGTGGAGACCTCTGTATTCGTGGACAAGGTGATGGTTGTTGCGAATGATCAGTGCTTGAAGGTTTTGTGACTCCATTTGTGGTGAGTGTTGAGGTCGAGGCTGTAAATTCAGTATTTCTGTGGGTAATGTAGATTGTGGCTCTGTGGATGAGGATATCATTGTTGCAGATGTGTCCTGGCTGGTTGATGGAGGCTGAGTGTTGCTGGTACTTAGTATTGAAGATGAACTTGTGAATTCAGTAGATACTTCAGTGAAGGAAGTAGCGAATGAATGTTGTAATTTGTGGGGACATCTGTATTCGTTGATGTAGGGATGGTCGTGCAGATTGATCATGCTGAAGGTTTTGTGACTCCATTTGTGTGAGTGTTGAGGTCGAGGCTGTAAATTCAGTCATTTCTGTGGGTGCCAAGGTAGATTGTGGCTCTGTGGATGAGGACATCATTGTTGCAGATGTTTCCTGACTGGCTGATGGAGGCTGAGTGTTGTTGGTAGTTGGTATTGAAGTTGAACTTGTGTGTTCAGTAGATTCTTCAGTGGAATGAGTAGCGAATGTAGAGTGTGAATTTGGGGAGACCTCTGTATTCGAGGATGAGGTGATGGTTGGTGTGGAATGATCAGTGCTGGAAGGTTTTGTGACTCCATTTGTGGTGAGTGTTGATGTTGAAGCTGTTAATTCAGTAATTTCTGTGGGTGCCAAAGAAGATTGTGGCTCTGTGGATGAGGACATCATTGTTGTAGATGTGTCCTGGCTGGGTGTTGGAGGCTGAGTGTTGTTGGTACTTGGTATTGAAGTTGATCTTGTGAATTCAGTAGATGCTTGTGAAAGAAGTAGCGAATGTAGGTTGTGAATTTGTGGAGATCTCTGTATTAGTGGATGAATTGATGGTTGTTGCGGATCAGTGCTGGAAGACTGTGGCTCTTGGATGAGGACATCATTGTTGCAGATGTTTCTTGGCTGGTTGATGGAGGCTGAGTGTTGTTGGCAATTGGTATTGAAGATGAACTTGTGTGTTCAGTAGATGCATGAGTGGAATGAGTAGCGAATGTAGACTGTGAATTTGTGGAGACCTCTGTATTTGTGGATGAGGTGATGGTTGTTGGAGAATTATCAGTGCTAAAAGGTCTTGTAAATCCATTTGTGGTGAGTGTTGAGGTTGAAGCTGTTAATTCAGTCATTTCTGTGGGTGCCAACGAAGATTGTGTCTCTGTGGATGAGGACATCATTGTTGCAGATGTGTCTTGGCTGGTTGATGGAGGCTGAGTGTTGCTGGTACTTAGTATTGAAGATGAACTTGTGTGTTCAGTAGATTCTTGGTGGAATGAGTAGCGAATGCAGATTGTGAATTTGTGAGGACCTCTGTATTCGTGGATGAGGTGATGGTTGGTGCGGAATGATCAGTGCTGGAAGGTTTTGTGACTCCATTTGTGGTGAGTGTTGAGGTTGAGGCTGTTAACTCAGTAATTTCTGTGGGTGCCAAGGTAGATTGTGGCTCTGTGGATGAGGACATCATTGTTGCAGATGTTTCCTGACTGGCTGATGGAGGCTGAATGTTGTTGGTAGTTGGTATTGAAGTTGAACCTGTGTGTTCAGTAGATTCTTCAGTAGAATGAGTAGCAAATGTAGATTGTGAATTTTTGGAGACTTCTGAATTTGTGGCTGGGGTGATGGTTGTTGCGGAATTATCAGTGCTGGAAGGTCTTGAAACTCCATTTGTGGTGGGTGTTGAGATCGAGGCTGTTGATTCGGTCATTTTTGTGGGTGCCAATGTAGACCGTGGCTCTGTGGATGAGGACATCATTGTTGTATATGTTTCCGGGCTTGTTGATAGAGGCTGGTCACACTGTGGGCCATAAAATTGCTCCAGGCTAGACTCAAAGCACCTGGGTGAAGGCATAAGGGTAAATTGTGTTAATAAAAGCAATAGTATGACAAAATACGGTTTTTGCAATTAAAAGAGAAACAGATGTTTTGGCTTACCTACAAATAGGCCCTTTGTAAATGTCATTGTGGCATTCTCCATGTTGATGACAGTAATTTGGGTTTCTTTTGCAAGGTCCAAGACACTGCCATTGACCATTACTAATCTCAGCAGTGTAATTAGCAAACTGAGTGCAGTTAACAAAAGGCTCCAGGTCTTTGATATCTGATTGATGAAAAAAGTGATGTATTTGTCTTTGTGTACAAGTACTATGATACAAACATAGAAATTCTAACAAATTAAATGAAGAAACACTGTGTAAAGTAGCAAAAAGTTAAATAGGCATATTTAAAACTGACATGGAGTGCACTTACTTGTAATCTCAGGTAGCGGGAAGGTGATTCCATTTAACTGCACACTTGCATTAAAGACCTGAGAAATATTATTGAGGTTACTTGTGTCCTTCAAGATAGCAGTCAACAATCCATCAAGCTGAGTGTTGACAAACTGGATTTGAGTTTCATTGTTGGCATAGTTGTACTCTGCCACTGTCTCTGCAACAACACTTCCTGGTCTACAAAAGAAAAATAGAAAAATAAGCATAAGAAGCAACTTGCACTTAATTAAAACTCAATTTAAATAATTGTGTCAGTCAAATTTAAAGAAACCTACAATAACTTGATGACTTTTAGAGTTTTATAGCTTTGTGGATCTGCTTCTTTACACAGGACTTCAAGCTGGAACACAAGACCGGTGTTATTATAACATATTTATGGTAATAAAGCCACATTGTTGAATATTAACATAAATAAACAGATACTAAATTCTAAAAAAAGATCTGTTTATTATATGAATCATTGCTTATTTTGCCTGTCGATTCATTATTATGTTATAAGATATGATAAGATATAAGACATAATACATGAGTAAATACTGAAATTAGATAGATTATTGGATAATAAGTCATGTAACAGTGAGAAAAAAAATCTACCTGTGGTTTTAATGTCTTGATGAATTCTAATGATAGATGTGAGTTCAAATTATTGAAAGCCTCATTAAAAGTGATGTTGATTTTTAAAGTAAAATTCACTTTTCGAGTTGGTATTGTTCCAGTATCTGCAAAAAATATGAATGAATAAAATATTAAAATAACATTAAATATATTGCAATAACATTTTGAATTCAAAATTAAAGTAAGAATTATCAGTGACAAAGGTAAACAAATTTAAAGAGAATTTATAGCTAAAAGTATCAATAAAAAATATTTTGAGGGACTAGAATATATTTTTTAAAAAACCTATATTTTGGGATGGAAAACCTCACCAATCTGAGCAGAGGTAATATTCTCTCCAAAAACGCAGACATCTCCAAGGACAAACGTTGGACATTTGCAGTGACATCTTCCAAGTGTTGCGTTGAATTTACAGGTACCAGTACACCCAGGACAATCCTTAACTCCACACTGAGGAGTTGTAGATGGTGTTGTCACAGTGACAGTGGTATTTGAAAGGGCGACAGATGTTGAATGAATGACTGTTGTAAGTGTGTTTGTACTAATGATTTCTGCTGATGTCAAAGCCTTTGAAGTTGGTGTAGTTGGCAAAGATGTTTGTGGACTGCTACTTGATTTTTTATTTGTTGTTGCTTCACTTGTTGGTGCAGAAGCAGACTGTGTCAAAGGTGTCACGTTGGAGGAAACTGTGGCAGGTGGATGGATTGTAGTGGCACTATCTGTGTTTGGATTGTCAGTAGATGTTGGAGTAAAAGTTGGTATCACCACATTAGTTATGATAGTGGAACTGAAAGTTGATCTCACAGTCTGGGCTGTGTGCTTTGAAGTCAGTCTGGTACCTACGTGTGTTGTTGCAGTTTTTTGTTCAGGAGATGTTTTAGAGGAATGAGTAGGGAATGTAGACTGTGAAGTCTTTGTGGGTGAAGTGATGGATGGCGTGCTGGAAGGTCGTGAAACTCCATTTGTGGTGAGTGTTGATGTAGGGGCTGTTAATTCAGTCATTTCTGTGGATACCAATGTAGATTGTGACTCTGTGGATGAGGATATCATTGTTGCAGAAGTTTCCTGGCTGGTTGATGGAGGCTGAGTGTTGCTGGTACTTAGCATTAAAGTTGGACTTGTATGTTCAGTAGATTCTTGAGTGGAATGAGTAGCGAATGTAGATTGTGAATTTGTGGAGACCTCTGTATTCGTGGATGAGGTGATGGTTGTTGCAGAATGATCAGTGCTGGAAGGTTTTGTGACACCAATTGCGGTGAGTGTTGAGGTCGAGGCTGTCAATTCAGTCATTTCTGTGGGTGCCAGTGTAGATTGTGACTCTGTGGATGAGGACATCATTGTTGCAGATGTTTCCTGGCTGGTTGATGGAGGCTGAGTGTTGCTGGTACTTAGTATCGAAGATGAACTTGTGTGTTCAGTAGATGCTTGAGTGGAATGAGAAGCCAATGTAGAGTGTGAATTTGTGGAGACTTCTGAATTTATGGATGAGGTGATGGTTGTTGCAGAATGATCAGTGCTGGAAGCTCTTGTAACTCCATTTGTGGTGAGTGTTGGGCTCGAGGCTGTAAATTCAGGAATTTCTGTTGGTGCCAATGTAGATTGTGACTCTGTGGATGAGGACATCATTGTTGCAGATGTTTCCTGGCTGGTTGATGGAGGCTGAGTGTTGCTGGTACTTAGTATCGAAGATGAACTTGTGTGTTCAGTAGATGCTTGAGTGGAATGAGAAGCCAATGTAGCGTGTGAATTTGTGGAGACTTCTGAATTTATGGATGAGGTGATGGTTGTTGCAGAATGATAAGTGCTGGAAGCTCTTGTAACTCCATTTGTGGTGAGTGTTGGGCTCGAGGCTGTAAATTCAGGAATTTCTGTTGGTGCCAATGTAGATTGTGACTCTGTGGATGAGGACATCATTGTTGCAGATGTTTCCTGGCTGGTTGATGGAGGCTGAGTGTTTCTGGTGCTTAGTATTGAAGTTGAACTTGTGTGTTCAGTAGATGCTTGACTGGAATGAGTAGCGAATGTAGAGTGTGGCACTGTGGATGACGATATCATTGTTGCAGAGGTTTCCTGGCTGGTTAATGGAGGCTGAGTGTTGCTGGTACTTAGCATTAAAGTTGGACTTGTATGTTCAGTAGATTCTTGAGTGGAATGAGTAGCGAATGTAGATTGTGAATTTGTGGAGACCTCTGTATTCGTGGACAAGGTGATGGTTGTTGCGGAATGATCAGTGCTTGAAGGTCTTGTAACCACATTTGTGGTGAGTGTTGAGGTTGAGGCTGTCAATTCAGTCATTTCTGTGGGTGCAAAAGTAGAGTGTGTCTCTGTGGATGAGGACATCATTGTTGCAGATGTTTCCTGGCTGGTTGATCGAGGCTGATTGTTGCTGGTACTTAGTATCGAAGATGAACTTGTGTGGTCAGTAGATTTTTGGGTGGAATGAGTAGCGAATGCAGATTGTGAATTTGTGGAGACCTCTGAATTCTTGGCTGGGGTGATGGTTGTTGCGGAATGATCAGTGCTGGAAGGTTTTGTGACTCCAATTGTCGTGAGTGTTGAGGTCGAGGCTGTTAATTCAGTCATTTCTGTGGCTGCCAATGTAGATTGTGACTCTGTGGATGAGGACATCATTGTTGCAGATGTTTCCTGGCTGGTTGATGGAGGCTGAGTGTTACTGGTACTTAGTATCGAAGATGAACTTGTGTGTCCAGTAGATTCTTGGGTGGAATGAGTAGCGAATGTAGAGTGTGGCTCTGTGGACAAGGACATCATTGTTGCAGATGTTTCCTGGCTGGCTGATGGAGGCTGAGTGTTGCTGGTACTTAGTATCGAAGATGAACTTGTGTGTTCAGTAGGTGCTTGAGTGGAATGAGTAGCCAATGTAGAGTGTGAATTTGTGGAGACTTCTGATTTCGTGGATGAGGTGATGGTTGTTGCAGAGTGATAAGTGCTGGAAGCTCTTGTAACTCCATTTGTGGTGAGTGTTGGGCTTGAGGCTGTTAATTCAGTCATTTCTGTGGGTGACAGTGTAGATTGTGGCTCTGTGGATGAGGACATCATTGTTGTAGATGTTTCCTGGCTGGTTGATGGAGGCTGAGTGTTGCTGGTACTTAGCATCAAAGTTGGACTTGTATGTTCAGTAGATTCTTGAGTGGAATGAGTAGCGAATGTAGAGTGTGGCTCTGTGGACAAGGACATCATTGTTGCAGATGTTTCCTGGCTGGCTGATGGAGGCTGAGTGTTGCTGGTACTTAGTATCGAAGATGAACTTGTGTGTTCAGTAGATGCTTGAGTGGAATGAGTAGCCAATGTAAAGTGTGAATATGTGGAGACTTCTGATTTCGTGGATGAGGTGATGGTTGTTGCAGAGTGATCAGTGCTGGAAGCTCTTGTAACTCCATTTGTGGTGAGTGTTGGGCTTGAGGCTGTTAATTCAGTCATTTCTGTGGGTGACAGTGTAGATTGTGGCTCTGTGGATGAGGACATCATTGTTGTAGATGTTTCCTGGCTGATTGATGGAGGCTGAGTGTTGCTGGTACTTAGCATTAAAGTTGGACTTGTATGTTCAGTAGATTCTTGAGTGTAATGAGTAGCGAATGTAGATTGTGAATTTGTGGAGACCTCTGTATTCGTGGACAAGGTGATGGTTGTTGCGGAATGATCAGTGCTTGAAGGTCTTGTAACCACATTTGTGGTGAATGTTGAGGTCGAGGCTGTCAATTCAGTCATTTCTGTGTGTGCAAAAGAAGACTGTGGCTCTGTGGATGAGGACATCATTGTTGCAGATGTTTCCTGGCTGGTTGATGGAAGCTGAGTGTTGCTGGAACTTAGTATCGAAGATGAACTTGTGTGTTCAGTAGATTCTTGGGTGGAATGAGTAGCGAATGCAGATTGTGAATTTGTGGAGACCTCTGAATTCATGGCTGGGGTGATGGTTGTTGCGGAATGATAAGTGCTGGAAGGTTTTGTGACTCCATTTGTGGTGAGTGTTGAGGTTGAGGCTGTTAATCCAGTCATTTCTGTGGGTGCCAAGGTAGATTGTGGCACTGTGGATGAGGACATCATTGTTGCAGATGTTTCCTGGCTGGTTGATGGAGGCTGAGTGTTGCTGGTACTTAGCATTAAAGTTGGACTTGTCTGTTCAGTAGATTCTTGAGTGGAATGAGTAGCGAATGTAGATTGTGAATTTGTGGAGACCTCTGTATTCGTGGCTGGGGTGATGGTTGTTGCGGAATGATCAGTGCTGGAAGGTTTTGTGACTCCAATTGTGGTGAGTGTTGAGGTCGAGGCTGTTAATTCAGTCATTTCTGTGGGTGCCAATGTAGATTGTGACTCTGTGGATGAGGACATCATTGTTGCAGATGTTTCCTGGCTGGTTGATGGAAGCTGAGTGTTTCTTGTACTTAGTATTGAAGTTGAACTTGTGTCTTCAGTAGATGTTTCAGTGGAATGAGTAGCAAATGTAGAGTGTGGCTCTGTGGACAAGGACATCATTGTTGCAGATGTTTCCTGGCTGGTCGATGGAGGCTGAGTGTTGCTGGTACTTAGTATCGAAGTTGAACTTGTGTGTTCAGTAGATGCTTGAGTGGAATGAGTAGCCAATGTAGAGTGTGAATTTGTGGAGACTTCTGAATTCGTGGATGAGGTGATGGTTGGTGCAGAGTGATCAGTGCTGGAAGCTCTTGTAACTCCATTTGTGGTGAGTGTTGGGCTTGAGGCTGTTAATTCAGTCATCTCTGTGGGTGCCAATGTAGATTGTGGCACTGTGGATGAGGATATCATTGTTGTATGTGTTTCTGGGCTTGTTGATAGACGCTGGTCACATTGTGGGCCATAAAACTGATCCAGGCTAGACTCAAAGCACCTGGGTGAAGCCATAAGGGTGAATTATGTTAATAAAATCAATAGTATCAGCAAAAATATAAGACTTTTTTTGCAATTAAAATAAAAAGAGATGTTTTGGCTTACCTACAAATAGGCCCTTTGTAAATGTCATTGTGGCATTCTCCATGTTGATGACAGTAATCTGGGTTTGTTTCGCAAGGTCCAACACACTGCCATTGACCATTACTAATCTCAGCAGTGTAATTAGCAAACTGAGTGCAGTTAACAAAAGGCTGCAGGTCTTTAATATCTGATTGATGAAAAAAGTGAGGTATTTGTCTTTGTGTACAAGTACCATGATACAAACATAGAAATTCTAACAAATTAAATGAAGAAACACTGACTGTGTAAAGAAACAAAAACTTAAATAGACACATTTAAAACTGACATGGAGTGCACTTACTTGTAATCTCAGGTAGGGGGAAGGTGATTCCATTTAACTGCACACTTGCATTAAAGGCCTGGGAAATATTACTGAGGTTACTTGTGTCCTTCAAGATAGCAGTCAACACTCCATCAAGCTTAGTGTTGACAAACTGAATTTGAGTTTCATTGTTTGCATAGTTGTACTCTGCCACTGTCTCTGCAACAACACTCCCTGGTCTACAACAGAAAAATATAAAGATAAGCATAAGAAAACAACTTGCACTCAATTAGAAATGTATTTAAATAATTTTGTCAGTCAAATTCAATGAAACCTACAATAACTTGATGACTTTTAGAGTTTTATAGCTTTGTGGATCTGCTTCTTTACACAGGACTTCAAGCTGGAACACAAGACCGGTGTTATTATAACATAGTTATGGTAATAAAGCCACATTGTTGAATATTAACATAAATAAATAGATATCAAAATTAAAAAAAAAATCCCTGTTTATTATATAAATCATTGCTAATTTTGCCTGTCGATTCATTATTATGTTATAAGATATGAGAAGATATAAGACATAATACATGAGTAAATACTGAAATTAGATAGATTATTGGATAATAAGTCATGTAACAGTGAGAAAAAAAATCTACCTGCGGTTTTAATGTTTTGATGAATTCTAGTGATAGATGTGAGTTCAAATTATTGAAAGCCTCATTAAAAATGATGTTGATTTTCAAAGTAAAATTCACTTTTCGAGTTGGTATTGCTCCAGTATCTGCAAAAAATATATAAATAAATAAAATATTAAAATAACATTAAATATATTGCAATAACATTTTGAATTCAAAACTAAAGTAAGAATTATCAGTGACAAAAGAAAACAAATTTAAAGAGAATTTTTTGCTAAAAGTATCAATAAACAATATTTTCAGGTACTAGAATATAGAAAAAAAAAACTATATTTAGGGATGAAAAACCTTACCAATCTGAGCAGTTGTAATATTCTCTCCAAAAACGCAGACATCTCCAAGGACAAACGTTGGACATTTGCAGTGACATCTTCCAAGTGTTGCATTGAATTTACAGGTACCAGTACACCCAGGACAATCCTTAATTCCACACTGAGGAGTTGTAGATGGTGTTGTCACAGTGACAGTGGTATTTGAAAGGGCGATAGAAGTTGAATGAATGACTGTTGTAAGTGTGTTTGTACTAATGATTTCTGCTGATGTCAAAGCCTTTGAAGTTGGTGTGGTTGGGGAAGATGTTTGTGGACTTCTACTTGATTTTTTATTTGTTGTTGCTTCACTTGTTGGTGCTGAAGCAGACTGTGTCAAAGGTGTCACGTTGGAGGAGACTGTGGAAGGTGGATGGATTGTAGTGGCACTATCTGTGTTTGGAGTGTACGTAGATGTTGGAGTAAAAGTTGGTATCACCACATTAGTTATAATAGTGGAACTGACTGTTGATCTCACAGTCTGAGCTGTGTGCTTTGAAGTCAGTCTGGTACCTACGAGTGTTGTTTCAGTTTTTTGTTCAGGAGATGTTTCAGTGGAATGAGTAGGGAATGTAGACTGTGAAGTCTTTGTGGGTGAAGTGATGGATGTTGTGCTAGAAGGTCGTGAAACTCCATTTGTGGTGAGTGTTGACGTAGGGGCTGTTAATTCAGTCATTTCTGTGGGTGCCAATGTAGATTGTCGCTCTGTGGATGAGGACATCATTGTTGTAAATGTTTCCTGGCTGGTTGATTGAGGCTGAGAGTTGCTGGTACTTAGCATTAAAGTTGGACTTGTATGTTCAGTAGATTCTTGAGTGGAATCAGTAGCGAATGTAGATTGTGAATTTGTGGAGACTTCTGAATTCGTGGCTGGGGTGATGGTTGTTGCGGAATGATTAGTGCTGGAAGGTTTTGTGACTCCAATTGTGGTGAGTGTTGAGGTCGAGGCTGTCAATTCAGTCATTTCTGTGGGTGCCAATGTAGATTGTGACTCTGTGGATGAGGACATCATTGTTGCAGATATTTCCTGGCTGGTTGATGGAGGCTGAGTGTTGCTGGTACTTTGTATCGGAGATGAACTTGTGTGTTCAGTAGATGCTTGGGTGGAATGAGTAGCCAATGTAGAGTGTGAATTCGTGGAGACTTCTGAATTTGTGGATGAGGTGATGGTTGTTGCAGAATAATCAGTGCTGGAAGCTCTTGTAACTCTATTTGTGGTGAGTGCTGAGCTCGAGGCTGTCAATTCAGTCATTTCTGTGGGTGCAAAAGTAGATTGTGGCTCTGTGGATGAGGACATCATTGTTGCAGATGTTTCCTGGCTGGTTGATTGAGGCTGAGAGTTGCTGGTACTTAGCATTAAAGTTGGACTTGTATGTTTAGTAGATTCTTGAGTGGAATCAGTAGCGAATGTAGATTGTGAATTTGTGGAGACTTCTGAATTCGTGGCTGGGGTGATGGTTGTTGCGGAATGATTAGTGCTGGAAGGTTTTGTGACTCCAATTGTGGTGAGTGTTGAGGTCGAGGCTGTCAATTCAGTCATTTCTGTGGGTGCAAAAGTAGATTGTGGCTCTGTGGATGAGGAAATCATTGTTGCAGATGTTTCCTGGCTGGTTGATCGAGGCTGATTGTTGCTGGTACTTAGTATCGAAGATGAACTTGTGTGTTCCGTAATTTCTTGGGTGGAATGAGTAGCGAATGCAGATTGTGAATTTGTGGAGACCTCTGAATTCGTGGCTGGGGTGATGGTTTTTGCGGAATGATCAGTGCTGGAAGGTTTTGTGACCTTAATTGTGGTGAGTGTTGAGGTCGAGGCTGTTAATTCAGTCATTTCTGTGGGTGCCAATGTAGATTGTGGCTCTGTGGATGAGGATATCATTGTTGCAGAAGTTTCCTGGCTGGTTGATGGAGGCTGGGTGTTGCTGGTACTTAGCATTAAAGTTGGACTTGTATGTTCAATAGATTCTTGAGTGGAATGAGTAGCAAATGTAGATTGTGAATTTGTGGAGACCTCTGAAGTCGTGGCTGGGGTGATGGTTGTTGCGGAATGATCAGTGCTGGAAGGTTTTGTGACTCTGATAGTGGTGAGTGTTGAGGTCGAGGCTGTTAATTCAGTCATTTCTGTGGGTGCCAATGTAGATTGTGACTCTGAGGATGAGGACATCATTGTTGCAGAGGTTTCCTGGCTGGTTGATGGAAGCTGATTTTTTCCTGTACTTAGTATTGAAGTTGAACTTGTGTCTTCAGTAGATGTTTCAGTGGAATGAGTAGCGAATGTAGAGTGTGGCTCTGTGGATGAGGACATCATTGTTACAGATGTTTCCTGGCTGGTTGATGGAGGCTGAGTGTTGCTGGTACTTAGTATCGAAGATAAACTTGTGTATTCAGTAGATGCTTGAGTGGAATGAGTAGCCAATGTAGAATGTGCATTTGTGGAGACTTCTGAATTTGTGGATGAGGTGATGGTTGTAGCAGAATGATTAGTGCTAGAAGGTTTTGTGACTCCATTTGTGGTGAGTGTTGAGGTTGAGGCTGTTAATTCAGTCATTTCTGTGGGTGACAATGTAGATTGTGGTTCTGTGGATGAGGACATCATCGTTGCAGAGGTTTCCTGGCTGGTTGATGGAAGCTGAGTGTTGCTGGAACTCAGTAATGAAGTTGAACTTGTGTGTTCAGTAGATGCTTGAGTGGAGTGAGAAGCGAATGTAGATTGTGAATTTGTGGAGACCTCTTCATTTGTGGATGAGGTGATGGGTTTTGCAGAAATATCAGTGCTGGAAGGCCTTGTAACTCCATTTGTGGTGAGCGTCGAGGTCAAAACTCTTAATTGAGTTGTTGCTGTGGGTTTTACTTTTATAGTCAACATAGTTTGTCGCTTTGTTGTTTTTTCGTTGCTTGTTGCTGGAAGCGGTGTTGTGTTCTTAGTTGTTAGTAATTTTGTATTTTCTCGTGCTTGAGTTTCTTTGATGAAATTGGTCTTTACAGAAGGAATTCTTGTAGCTATACTGCTTTCTGATTTCGTTATATGAGTTAAGTCAGTAGGGACGGCTTCAGAGTCAGTAGGGACTGATTTTGTTGAAGGCAAAGTTGTCCTATTTGTATCAGACTCAGTAGACGTGCTGCTCATTTGCTGAAAATCTAGTAATTCAGTTATATACTGCTGGTCAGTATCATTTAATGCTGTCCTAATTTGTAAAATGTCTGACGATTCATTTGTCATGTTTATGCTTGATAGACTCTTTTCTTTATGGTTGTCTGCTGTCTGTGGTTTCCTCCATGTTTCGTCAGGTTGATCTTGTTTTTCATTTTGATTAGCTGTTAATAAAGAGAATATTTCATCACAATTTAATTTTCAAGTTAAAACAAAGGTAACATTTTATTTAAAATTTTATTTTAACCATGCTTCCTTAGAACTATTCCAGAAATTATAATCAATTATTTCTGCAAATAATCATGATGTAATCTTATTGGTTCATGTTTGGCCAGTGTTAACTTTGTTTATCTTCAGTGCAGAAGTTGGCTTTTTGACTCAGTTTTATATAACAATAACTAAGGTCACTTCAAATAAAAATCCTTTCTGTCAGCGTTCAATAGGTCATATGTTACTTATCTCGGGCACATATCTAATGTCTGTGTAATGTTTTTAATCTTACACTATGCAGTTTCTTCAATTATTAACGGAATATGCCAATCAGTCCACAGTATGTATCAGTGATTTCCCTTTGATGTGAACTGTATTGCTTTCATGGAAGTTAAGTTGCACCCAAAAAAAATATAGCCTTTCAGCCTAAGATTATCTGAGGTTGTTAAAAAATTAACTCACTGAAAAAGTTTTTGAATATGCTTCCTAAAATACATCCAATAAAACATTGCTAGATAGGGGATTAGATGAATGACCATTTAAAGTAACATTCAAAACGTTTCTGAACATTAATGTTCCAAAAATAACTCATGTTTAGTACAAATTACCTGTATTGTTTGAGGATTTGGGTGCAAGTTAACAGTGAGGAGCAGAGTCTTTCTATTTGTACTATCTGCATTTATTGTTGTTATTCTTGAAAAACTGTCAATGCTAAAATGAATAAAATGTAATGACAATATACAGTCTAACAATATATATTAATTATAAAGAAAATATTATAAAAGTGTGGTAAAATGGTTACATTCAAAATAGTTCTTCAGTAAATTGATAAGAATAACACAAATCCAAGACTTACCTCCTTTTTGTGTAAAGAATACGCAGACTGCGATCAGCACGATGACCACTAATGTAAGGATCAGAAGAAGGGTGGAAAGCCTCCTCCGATTACAGAAACCCAAATAAATCCACTTTTTCATTTTTCCATGCATTCAGGTAATCATCCAAAAGATGTAATGCTGAAATACTTCAACTGCTGCAATGTCTTTCACTCCATGAACACATGCAGTACAATAAAACAGAATAATTTAGATGTTCTTCAATTTTCAATATCTCTCCTAGTACTTCTTGGTGAATTTGTAGTTAAGTTTGATCCTGTTGGCAGTTCTCGTCATATAAACAGTTATCTGTCAGTGTCAGATCTACTCTATGTATCAATGATCAACTAGTAAACTGAAGTTGTTCCTGATATAGTGCCCTCCCTAAGCAAACTGTTTAATGTATTGCCCCATGGCGCTACAGCAATTTTTTAAGTTCCCTGAAAGTACACTCACACCCTACACATGCCTGTTTTCAAAGTTCCAGATCATGATGACGCTGAGGTGGACAAGGACTAAGGTGTGAGTGGGTGAGCTGAGGGTGGGTGTGATTCTAGAAAGAAAAGACTTACCCAATGTAACATCATTAGCTATTATTCATTTTCAATGCCACCAGTGAGATTTAATATGCACTGTGCAATTGCTGGCATTTTTCATAAAGTATGTGCTAAGGGTCACACACACAGTGTATGAACCAATATGCTCACTAAGAGTGCATTTTATTTGAATAAGTTAATTATAAAGAATGTATATTATAAGTTAATTATATATACATTATATATGTCTACATATATGCTCTTTACTTATTTCATTAGTTGCTATATTTTCATGTTTGATGGTCACATGATGATGGTCACATGACTCTAACCTAGGGGGAGTTACATTGAGCAACATATTGACAATATAGCAATTTGAATAGATGTTATAAATAGACTGTTAAACATGATCACAGCAACAGTCTCAATAGCACCAGGAACAATGTGCTCTGACAAGGTTAAACACAAATATTCCTCTTGATCTTTAAGATACAAGAGGTTTGGGTTAAGCTCTCCACACCTCTGTTTGCTTTTTAGAAAATCATTTCTGAAATGTCACGCAGCAATAAATATATATATTTCCTGTTCACAATGAAACGCAATACTGAAATAATTTCGTAACAGAATTTCACATTTTTTTTGCATTGCCCTGCCACTTTGTAATTACAGTTAAATTTGGGAATGCTCACTACGCCAACATGTTAAAGAATCAAAGTTAATTTTATTCCACAATCCTAAAGAAAAGCCAGCAACGTTAATAACACTTTCATTTGTCACCTGGGTGTTGTTCAGTGTGTCTTGGCTCAAATTAGTCTTCTTATCACTCCCTGACTGACACAAACCACACTTGTGGTTTGGTATATGGACCTGTTCAAGGTAGAACAAGCATGCAAGGATAGGGAACAGGCACACTGGACAGCAGTTTATACTGAAGAAAAATCACCTGATATGAATGATATTTCAATTTGATTAGTGTTTGTGGTACTTCATGGAATTATCTGTAAAACAGTTTAATAGTGACCTCCAGACCCCATCTTAGAGTTTATTGTGAACAGAGAGCCCAAACAATAAAACACATACGTGAATGTGCAGTACCTGTGTGTGTTCTCTACACTAGGTTTATCTAAATACAACATGCGCATAAAACTCCTGTTCGAGTGATGTAGACACCTGCACTCCTGCAGTGCTCCAAGATCCCAGTCCAGGCAGAGTCAACTCGCACAGCTCACTGAGCTAACGGCAGCTACAGGTAGCAGTAGTTAGCAGTTATTTTAGCAACAAATAGGGATGTGCCAATCCTAAACTCTGTATCATCTGATAATCCAATATGACCCATTAGCCTAAACTACATAACATAAAGGCTTAACTCAACTTTGGGCAATGTATTCCTCCCTTTGTGGGAGTAGAATATTTGTTTCACAGTTTGAGCATTATGTTTTAGAAGGCTAGGATACTTAATAATATAAATATATATATATATAGTCATAAGATTGTGTTTTTGAGGTCCAGTCCCCCACTCAAGTTTATTGTTTTTCCAACCTAATTCTTGTCCCTCTTGTGGTCTGATAAACAGTAATGCAATCAAAGTCTGTGCACAATATTTCTATTTTCAAACCTATTGTAGCTCTAATATTGTGTGGGGCCTGTGGTCGGTGTACCATCAAAAAGGGTCAAATAGTTACATAATATGGTTAGATTATGCTTTAGAGGGCAATGTGATAGTAATTATGCTTTTTTCCATCTAAATCAATTAAAATCTATTCTGAAACTGAGTATTTACTGTGTGTATGATTTATTGTGCATTTTGGTGATCATCAATACAAGTTAGAGCTTATAGCATGACCCAGACGAACTTGGTGAACTTACCTTAAATCTGTAATGGGGGAAATGTCACTAGGTGGTTTCCTCTGAAACACTATCATCTTTTCTAAAAATATAGTCAAACATTATGTGACGTCTTTCCGTGAACAGTAATCTCCAGTATACAAAGGTAAAGGGGTGGAGAATTTGCTATTGAGCCAAAGAGGAACTAAGTGCCATAAAGCTTGCCAATGATCGTATCAACAGACCTACCCTCTTCTCATTTCTTTCTTTCCTTACGTTTGACATTACTGACGTTCACTTTTAATTCATGTGTGCACTTTCAAAAATATGCTGGTCAAAAAAGAAAGAAGACATACAAAAGGGGGAATAAAGGTAGGTTCATGAATCAGGATAAAAGCAAACAAATTTCTTGACATTCTTGCTGCGTCTTTAAAGGTCAGAGTTATACGGAGCACAGTGGAGAAAATCTAACCTCAAAACAATGCAATGTTGAAATACTTTATCTAAGTCACATAAAACAGTAAATACAAACAACTGCCTGTTATCACACTCCCCTCTCACAAACATCACATGAAGATATTGAATCAATTTTAATATGAATTGTTCATAGCTGCTTTGGAGCTGACATTGCTACGAACAGCCCACCCAACAAGTTAGGAAACAAATCAGTCTGTTCTTTCTCCAAATAACTGCGACATCCTTTTGTTCTGGACAGTCACACACATTCCTCAGCTTTAATTCTCACACTTCAGCCTCCTTTTGAACCTCCTCAAGATCCTCTGTTCTTGTTTCTGTCAGCACCGTTTGGGCTCTTTTACGCTCTGCCTCTGTTATTGTCATCGGGTGCAGAGGGAAAAATCCTGCCAACCCTACGGAAAGAAAGAGGAGAGAGGAAGACCACATCTTTCACTACAAGCTTTTCCAACAAACTAGAGACATTGCCTGGAGTTGCCGTAATCTTTTAGAACGACAGCTGATACATTACAATTCAAAGATCATTTTATTTCCTTATAGGCAATTTCTGGGGAACCAGCTGATTAATACACAGATGCTTGTTTAATCAGTATCTTTACAGAGTGCATGGATGGGGTGTTTGAGGGCACGGTTAACAATAATAGTACCAATCATCATTTATAGTTGTAGATAATATAGATACCAAGTCAAAGTTTCAAAGAATAGTCAACACAGACAAAGAAGTGTATTTCTAGATAAATATTGCGTAAAAGGTGTGTGGTACTATAAAAGTTGTCGATGAACCTCACTGATTAAACAAACGACTATAAAGCAGAACAATTCTTAGGACAAGCCCAAAATAACATTGAGCAATGTTGATCCACCTAAGAGGAACATGTTTATGTAGTGAATACACACCTAGAAGTTTGGCCACTGGCTTTGTAGGGTGTGCACCACAGCCGATCCAGTACTTTATTCGGTCAAGGTTGAAGCTGACAAGTTTTTCGTTGTAGATGTTTGGGAGGGGGTCGTAGGTGCCCAGCTGCTCTAAATATTTTCCATCTCTTGCCCTTTTGTTGTAAGCTGCCACAATGCGATAAAAGGGTCTGTTCGCTTGTTTGTGGCCTGCAAGAGCCAATCGGATGACAACGTAGCCCCCGTGGTAATTCTTTAGCAGGAGTGATGCTGCAGAGGGAAATAAGCACAGTAAGCATTGTCAAAGAGAAAAAAAAATAGTTTCTTGTAACTGTATAACACCTCCATGAATCAGTAAGAGATGGATAACCTGCATTCTCCAGTAAAGGCTGTACTGTCGGAGGTCTACCTTACTGTGAGTTATTTCCTCAAAAGCCTTTTTTATATCATGAAATCTTGTGTTCATCTTATTTATAACCATATGTTTTCCAAATCCCTGAATCCATCCTGCTTCAATCAGAGTCACTTTCATGAACAAGATGAAGGGGAACTGAAGTGACGGGAGGAACAGCAGTACTCGCTGTGGTTTACTGTTCTTTTATTTTGTCTGTAGATTTTCTCTTATATTGTAAAACACTAATATTTGATGTATAAAAAGGTGCAGTTGACAGTTTATTACATATACCTATATACCTAGACTACTGCACTCTACTGTAAATCCAACGTTTGTAATGTTCAGTTTTTGTTAGTTTAGTTTACTCTTATTGATATGGGGTGGACAAAATATAAGAAACACTTCTAACTATACAGCAATACAAATCAAAACAAAAACACCCGAAACCACCTCTAATAAAATGACCTAGACTGCATTAATTTTAGCTATGTGTACCTAATAAATTGGCAACTGAGTGGATATTTATATAATGCTATAAATAATGGCAACTATTGTCTCCTTTCTTGCTTCTCAAATGTAAAGATTTGCTCCTTTTAAGAGTTTTATGTCATTTCTAATTACATATGATTGGGTTTTGGACTGTTGGCAGGACAAAACAAGACATTAAAGATGTCACCTTTAAGGTCTCTAAAGTCGTAGTTTTTATTAATATTATAATATTATATTTATTATTTCTGTCATTTCATAGATTAAACAGATAAATCAAGTAAGAAATCTAGTAAGAAATGTATTAGTTTTAGTACTATAGTCATTAATAAAACTTACTTTACTCTAACCAGTTGTTGTTTACTAATTTAAAAAGCAGTCATATTTAAGAGGATGCCTTTATGCTGAACGTATGATTACACTTATTCTCCATGTTGTGTTTACTTTCTCCTGCCTAACCTCTGCCTCTTGGGGGGGTTTTAGGGTCCCTGCTGCCACCAGACAAAGTTCACCATCAGGATTCATTCACAATGTATAGCTACTCACATAAATGAACCATAGTGCTGACTGGATTACCCTGCAACAGAAAGAAAAAGTCACGTTTAAATCCAAGTGCGTATAAAGAAACAATACCAGCACTGCGTCTCATACTGTTACAAA